TGGAAGTTCATTCTTAATGAACCCCTATTCTGTTTGAGCCTTTACCACATGGGGAATCTCTCTCAATTACGTTGCATACTGTTGCCTGGAGCACATGGACGGGCTTCTACCACTGATTTTTTTTATGATTTCTTGCCTATTACAAGACATTGCAAGTTGGTTACCATGGCTGGGTTACAAATTGTTACAGGTCTCTTTGTAGATGGTTTGGTGCCCCAAGTACATGATCTGTATTCCCTTGTCTTCCAATGCCATTAGGTAAAAGGGATATCTCCATCTCGTAAGTTCTAAATCCCTAATCTGAACACATTTTTAGGATCTAATTGTATAAATATTTTGTGCTGTAAAGCCAAAAAATGATAGAATGTAGCTTTTATTCATTTCATTCCACCATGAGTTCTTAGCAGTTGTGGTTGTCACATGAAGTACTGATATGAAATTCCAGATTGTTTTGTTATAACATACTCAACCATTTATATATCTATTGTTTTAATTATGAAAATTTGAAATATTCATCTACAATTAGAATCAGGGAGGCTTGAGGATAAGACCTTCCAAGTTTAAAAGGCATTGTCATTGTCTTTTAATAATAATAAAAAAAACTGTTCTATAACATAATTTTCAGATGTAGTATGGTTTTGTTTTGAATTTTGCACAAAGCTACACGAGGGCTATCTGTGCTAGCCATCCCTAATTTAGCAGTATAAGACTAGAGGGAAGGCAGATAATCATCACCACCCACCGTCAACTCTTGGGCTACTCTTTTACCAACGAATAGTGAGATTGACCATCACATTATAACGCCCCCACGACTGAAAGGGCGAGCATGTTTGATGGTACGGAGATTCGAACCCGCGACCATCAGATTGCGAGTCGAGCACCCTAACCACCTGGCCATGCCGGGCATGTAGTATGGAAAGCACATTTAGTATTTTCTATCTTCTTTAGTTCAGTAAGATGAGCATTTCATGCTCATCAAGAAGGGCTTCCAAATTTATTTGTACATACTATTTCTAGCTCTGTGTGTTGTTTGACATTAGAACAATGACCGTTAAATGTATCTAAGTTCCTTTCACACTAGTCACCTGTTGTTAGGGGGCATTCCTCTGGTGCCACGTGCTCTATTTCGTGGGAAAGTTTGCTGTACAGTAGAATGCACAATGTAAAGATAGATAGGAATCATTTTCTTTGTCAAATGTCGGGTTTTGTAAGGCCAGATTATTTACGATAAGGGTGTGTGGCTTGTTGGCGATAAATTTCAACTAAAAATAAATGAAAACTATTAATAAATGTTCATTTCACTGTTGGTTACTATATTTGTATCCAGAGCTTTAAATAATTGTCTCTTTCTTGTAAAAATCACACAGGTTGGTTCAGTTACTTTAGAACACAATTGACAAGACGAATTATTCTTCTCTACTCTAATTCTAGCTACATGGTGCAATAATCTCACTATTGTAAACAATAGCTAATTCACAACAATTGATATACACCATGTATGATTCATAAACAGTTACATAAATAAACGTACCATAAAATAACTAAATATGATACCCATGCTATA